AACAATAAAATACATTTTGTATACCAAATTCTGAACAGTTATTAGTATTTTCATATACTTTTAATTGTTGCCTCTTTTATAATTACAAATTGCCTTAAATCTTCTTTGTTAAGATTTGTAAAAACGCCATACTGACTTAGCCAAAATACAGTAACTAGTTTGAATTACACAAAGTATTCAATAGCTACAGTTGCTCTAGTTACCTATTATCTTTAAAGAAGTGGATATAAGATAACATTAGTTAAATTCTTATTATTTTTGAATTGTGTTAGTATATATCAGATATATTTTTGTTTATATTTAGCTTTGAAACTTTTGATAATACCCGCATTCATAGGCTGAAGATGAGCAGTGATAATTGGCTGTAAAAACTCACATTTAATATTAGTTAATTTTACATTTGAATAATTAGATATAATATATGGCTGATCATAACCACTACCATAATGGCCTTTACTTCTACCAATACTACAACTACAATCATGACCATGACCACAATTATCATGACTATTACTTGCATCCTGGTTGGTTCTGATTAATCTTGGTTGACCTCATCCTCGGCAATTTTCACATAAAGCAGTTGAAGTTTCGGGTTCTAATTCATTATCAGATATTTTTTCTGAATCAGAATTTGATTTATTTGATTCATATAGTTCATTAACATTAGGTTGGTTATGAAAATATGAAAAGGCATTATCTACTAGCAATAAAACTTAACAGTTTTGAATTCAAAACCTCTCATCTAAATTTTTTAACTATTCAGAGAATATATTATTTTGCATCTATACTCTAGAATTTGCGTAATAGATAACAGATAAAGAATTATAATTAATATAATAAAGCGCATAGTGAGAAATTAAAAATCTAATAACTAATAGCATTAATTTTTCAGTTACAGCTACATTACATATCAGCATAACAGTAATCTGTAAATGACTTTAATTAATATTTGAAGGTTAATTTTTTTAAAAATTAAATTTTTTGCTGTTTTAGATTAGTGCGATAAATTTCATTTATTATATTAATACAAAAACAGCAATAAAATTATAATTTAGAATAAATTATCCTTTTTAAATTCAGGTCTTGATTTAGATATGAGTGTTTGATC